TTCACTCTTGATGATACTCCTTATTCCAAATGACCAAAAAAATTGGATGAATTCCATACTTGGTTGAACACCAGAGATCTTGTTATTGAAAGCAAATATGATGTTCTTTTAGAATTTGCCACAAGGTTTACTAGAAGTCTTAAACATTGGTGGCAAGCAACCTCTAAGACAGATCAAATGACTTTTCTTCTTCTGCAAGACTTTTCCCAAGTTATTGAAATCATTTATCTATATTTCATAGGAAAACCTGCTGATGTTCTTGAACTCAAAAGAAGAGAATACTTTGAAAGAAAATGTTGTTCTCTTCAAAAACAGCACCTAGACCGCCATTACAAAGAAATGATTAAACTCTTTTACGGCCTAGGAGCTGATCCGAATTTGAAACAAGTTTCCTTAACTTCCATTCCTAAAGAACTCTCCCAACAAGTTGAGAGATCTTTTCTCAACAAGCAAAAAAGAATTGTTGATATCCCCTTTGGAGAGCTACAACAAGAAATTTATCTTTGTCTTGATGAACTTTGCCTTTAAAAACAGATGATGAAAAATTACATCAGTGACAATCGTGAACTTAATGGTGTTTGCTACAAACAATATTTGAAGATCAAATGTTCAAAGAAAGATTGTAACGGTTTCTGAGGAGAATATTAAAAAAAAAAAACAAGCACTTCAAGAAGTATCGAGTAAAAAGATCTACGCACTTCATAAGGAAGAAGAAATGGTGATTTATGCGGAAACGAAGAAACTTCACAGGACGCAAGAAACCAAACCGTTGCTTCATTTGCAACAAGAAGGGCCACTTTGCCAAAAATTGTCCTCAGGCTAAAAAAGGTCAGAATCAACTTCATTGTCCCTATTTCCGAGTCAGAATTATCTCATTCATAATATCGAACTAGAGACAGGAATCTTTCTTGACAATAATGATATCGAATCCCTATTCTCTGTAGATGAAAATCCCACTGACCAAACACTTTTTATCATTCCTTATTATTTCACCCCTAATGAAATAGACTCTGACTCAGAACCTGAAGAACTTTTCCATCTATCTTCACAGCCTGAAAATCTGGACCCTAGTATATATTCCAATCAACTTCATTGTCCCCATTTCCGAGTCAGAATCTATCTCTCAAAGTTTGCCAAATCAATTTCAGTCATTGCCCTTATAGATACTGATGCCAGTGCTTCAATTTTAGATACTCAAGTTCTTCCTTAAGAATACTGGATTTCCTGTGTTCAGTATTTCAACTCTGCTTCAGCAGATATTTTTTCTATAAATGTTCGCATCACACCCGTGTCTATTTAATTTTTCCCTCAATGCTCAATTATCACTAGAATTCTTGGATCTAATCTTCCCAATAAAGACTTGATTATTAGACAGGATATTATGACCCAACTTCCAGACTTGAGAATTGTTTCTGGAAAAGAACTTAGGTATAAAGACCAATTCTCTGAATTCGTCAATATCCAAAGGCTCTTTTCTATCCAGATGAGTCTGCTAGATCCAATCATGCAGAAACTGTTAGAATCATGCTTAGAAAATCATTTCGAATTCTATCATAAATGTTCTCATCCTTTGTGAAAAAAATCCAGAATTCTATGTTCGACTACCCTTCAAGAAAAATGAGGATATAAATCCTACTAAGGCTAATTATTCGGGAATGAATCCATAGGATTTGGCTCTTGCTAAAAAAAAATGCTCAGAATTGTTACAACAAGGCCTTATTGAAACTTCAAATTCTCAATGGACTTGTGAAGCTTTATATGCCAATAAACGTGTTGAGTAAAATAGAGATAAGATGAGATTGGTTATCAACTACCAGCCTCTTAATCTTTTTCACTAGGATGACAAATTTCATTTGCCTTCTCGAAATTCCCTTTTGGCGGGAATCACTAAAGCCCGTATTTATTCAAAGTTTGATCTTAAAGTCGGATTTTGGCAATTGGGCAATCATCCTGATGACAGACCTAAAATGGGATTCTGTATTCCAAACCAACACTTTCAATGGAGAGTTCTTCCATTTGATCTCAAGGTTGCTCCTTCCTTATTCCAAAAGGCTATGTGTCGCATATTCCAGCCGATCTTGTCCAGTGCTGCTATTTATATTGACTACATATTACTCTATAGTCCAGACGAAGAATCTCATTGCCAACTTCTTGAGCAGTTTGGAGAAATTGTGAAGAAATATAGCATTATGCTTTCCTAGAAAAAGATGATTGTTGCCCAAACATAAGTTGAATTCCTATGCATGCACCTTAATAAAGGTACATATTATCCAAGGCCCCATATCGCCAAGGAATTACTAAAATTTCCTGAAAAGGATTTTACAACCCAGCAAGTTCAACAATTTCTCAGGATAGTTAATTATCTTAGAGATTTTGTCCCAAATATTGCAAAGTTGTTAATTCCTTTGCAACTGATGTTAAAAAAGCATCCGGTGCTATGGGGAAAGGCACAAACCATAGCAGTTACGGAACTCAAAGAAATTATGCAAGATCTTCCCTCTCTGCAAATCCCATCCACAGGAAAGAGAATTTTGCAGACTAATGCCAGTGATGAATATTGAGAGGCCATATTGTTCGAAGAACTTCATGGTAAGCGACATCTTTGCTCTTACAAAAGTGGCAAGTTTTCTCAGGCAGAAATGCACTATCACTTTACCTTCAAGAAAATTTTGGCAGTAAAAAATGGAATAAAAAAGTTTGAGTTCCATCTTATTAGCCATCATTTTTTAGTAGAACTGGATATGACTTCTTTTCCCCAGATGATCAAATTCAAACAGAAGCAGATTCCTCATCTTCAACTACTCAGATGGGCTGAATGGTTTTCGAAATATTCCTTCGAAACCAAACATATTGCAGGAAATAAGAATGTTTTTGCAGATTTTCTCTCCAGACCAAAAGCATCGGCAGAAATCAACGTGTATATTCTTAGGCATTTCTTTCCTCTTCAGCCAGACAAATACAAAATTGAAAGATTTCAAGAATGGCTAAGTTTGGAATATCCTCAAGAAATAGTTGAGCAAATTCAAAAGGATAAACTCACTGAAAATTTTGACAACCTCATGTGGCAATGTCACACAGACCTTTTTCAGACTACATGGAGGCTGTATTCTTAGCTCTTTTGGATTACACTCGAGGTACCCTTTCATTCACCCATTAATTTGAAAAAAATGATTTTCTTGAAAAACTTAAATGGCTATTATGGTACCTAACCAGTAAGTACTTAATAGCTATTTAGTTTCCCACTAGAAATTTTTTTCTCAAATTAACCGGATTACTTATGGCTGATCACATTGAGCTAAATGAACACAAGAAAAACCTTTTAACTGTGCTCAAATGGTTTTACTCTCCTGTTTATTGGAAACGGCTTTTTCTCGAAGAGTTGAAAAAAATCCGAGATAATCCAGAAACACACACTGTTGTACTCTTCCATCGTCCATGGACTTTTGTGCACAACAATGGCATAGTCTCCGATACTGTTGCAGTAGTAGGTACTGCTATCTACAAGCCCCAGTCACATCTTCAAGTTGCACGTGTTTATAATTCGTTTCCTAGTCGCATTGGCTCTGTTGAATATAATTAGAGGGAACTCCAGAGGATCCTATGCCAAGAAAATCTTATTATCCCAGAAGAAGCATGGATTACACCACACCTGTTTCATGGGATCACAAAGGATCTTCATCTGCAACGAGACAAGCACTCAGAGAATACGATCAGGCACAAGTATAGCTCGGATCATCACAAGATCAAGAAATGTCAGACACAGGAAATCCAGCACGAGCATCTCAGAACCCATGGGGTGAACTGCTCTCTCAAGATCCCTATGACTATGGACCATTATCCTTATCCATTGGACTTGACACTAGTACAAGTTCCTATTACGCTCAAATAAGAAATTGGCCCCAGCCAGTCATGCCTAAAAGAACCAATTAAAACTTATCTCTCCCAGACTTTTCTACATATGCATCCTCTTCCTCAAACCAAACGCCAGTCATTACTAAAGACAATTTTGAACAAATTCTGGAACAGAGACAAATAGCAGAACATGAATATGCAAACAGCTCAGACTATGATTATAATTCTGGATGGAGATAAACTGGTACTGTTTCATATAACCGGCATTGTTCATTGTAACATATAATAGCCGGATACTGTTTCACATAATCGATACTGTTCATTGTAACATATAATAGCGGGGTACTGTTTCACCTAACCCTATGAGTGTGTTTTAGGTGTCCTACGAATGTGTTTTAGGTGTGTTTTGGACCGTCGTCTAACAATGTACTCCCCAGCGTCTATATAAGGCCATGTAATTCTTTAGTTTGGAATAAGAGGGAAATTTGTGAAATTTCAGAGTTCTTACTTTCTATATCTCTCTAAAAATCCTTTTCTTCAAAACTTGGCATGATCCTCTAAGAAATGTAGCTCGGTCAGTTAAGCATAACATCATCCTGGTAACTCTGAGTGTCTCTATGCTCTAAATTAAATTTCCGGGTAGTTTTGCAGTTAAAATGCTGTCCCTGAAGGGCTTGAACAAGAGATTCACCGTGCGGGATAGCATACTTATTGCAAACTAACCTTGTTTTTCTTTATTCTCAGTATAGATCCCCTCATTGGCCAAACTGATACACCCATCAACTGCCACATGTCATCCCACTTGGTAATTTGACGGTAAATTTTAACGGAAACTAGCATAGCGTAAATTTGTCACAGGTGTATCAGTTTAAGATTTTTTGTGATAAAAAAATTAATTTGGAATAAATTTGTCCTATTAGTTTCAGTTTTTCGTGATATTAGCCTAATAAGAAAGTAAGGGCTTAATTAACCTAACTGTGCCAATAAGGGCTTAATTCACCGAACTGTGCCGTTTGGCTTCAATTCGTTTCGCTCCCTGTGTCTCTCCTGCATCGCAACTCGTTCCTCGTTTCCTTGCCGGTGGTGATCCAGAGGATCCGCCACTCTCCTTGCCCACGAGGATCCTCCAAGAAACCGCAAGAGATTCTCGCAAAGCACACTGGGCATTTCCCCTTCTCCCCTGCCGAGAGCAATTCTTGTGGGGGCGGATTGGTATCGCCGCAATGTACACGAGGAGGTTCAGGACTAAACTTCAGAGATGGGGATCGGTTTTCTATCACCGCCGCAATAATGGGTTTGGTGCCCGACGCTATGTATTGACCCCTGAGGCTTCGGCGAGCGAATTCGCTCCGTCGCTCTCTGCTCTGCTCTGGAGATGCCTGTACAGCCCAAATGGTTCCGGGCGGCTGCATTTGTCGTCCTGCGGAGCCAATTCGGAGTTTTCCCGGCGGAATTTCGGGTCTTTCAGGTGTTTGAATGGTGGGTCTGTCGTGGGCTTCTCGAGCGTGGCGGAGAGTGCCAAGAACGATGATGAGGATGGGAAAGATAACGGCTCGTGTGGTGGCGACGAGAAAGGGTCCAGGCTCGGGGCGGCGTCTTGGGTCGACTTGTATTTGCCGAGGAAGGCGAGGCCTTACGCTCACCTTGCTCGCCTGGATAAGCCTATTGGGACTTGGCTGCTTGCTTGGCCTTGTATGTGGTAAGAGGGCCTTGCGGTTTTGAGGTGGCTGTTTTGGTTTCTCTTTTCGCGACACTGAATAAGCCCGAGTAGTTTCGGAGAAATGGATCGCTGATGTAGAAGTGCTGTGTATCCCAGTTCTTTTACCGATTTGCAATTCTTGTTTGGGATGGTTCATTTCAATAGGTTTGTATGTGCGATGTGCTTTGTTGTGTTTGATAGAATGACTCAAAGAGGAGTAACTATTCTTTCCCAACTTGTACTGCCTGTGTCTGCTGCATTATTTATGTAAAAGGTTTTGTCGTTTGGGAGTTGACATAGGCATCGATAGATCACTTATACAAGGATTATCAGTGGTAGGATTATCTATGGATCTTATACATCAATGACTTGAACTGCAAGTGGGGAGGACATGGCAATGTAAAATTCTGCAGCTGGCTCTTTGTTTTGAAAGGGAGATAAATTCTGCAGCTGTCTCTTTGTTTTTAAAGGAAGATATTACGAGATGCTGCTTATTTCCAAACTGATTTATTTTTTACAACACTCTGAGGACTGGGATTTAGCCAACGAGCGATTCTGGAAATGAATGTGGGTTCAGGCAATGACATCCTTTTCCAAGGCATAGGCACCGTTTTGTGGGGCCAAAGGATAATCCTCTGTTTGAGACAAGACTTCGATGGTTTCAGACTATATGTGTCTTCGGAGGGCGGTTTGAACTCATTTTTCATAAAAGAAAAATTTCAGATTTGGAGCTATCTCTGATTGATTCTTTCCTAGCTCTTCTCTATTCTGCTAAGGTTTGTGATTTCTACTTTCTGGATTACAAGATGGTGTACTATATAGAAAATAAGACCTCCAGTGTTAAATATGTTTACATTATTTTGGGGATTCTCTCCTCACTCTCTCTCAACAGCAATTTGGCTACTTTATGTTCCCCATAGAATTTCTTATTTTTGTTGGACTGTAGCTTGGAATAAGGTTCTTTCTACAGAAAATCTCAGAAAACAAAATTTCACTCTGACGAACTGACATTATATGTGCAAAAATCCGGATGATTCTGTTGATTATCTTCTTTTGATTCATCTTTTTCTTCATTGTAACTTTGGCCGCAACCTACGGAATCATATCTTCAGCTCTTCGAAGGTGGTCTAGGTCATGCCGAGAAATTCCTCCAGTTATTTAGCTATTGGAATGCCTACGTAGGAGACTCAATCTTTTAGAAGTCTTGAAGCACTGCACTGTGCTGCACTGCTTTGTTTTGTGTCATGCACTTGGGAAAGACCTTGAGGAATCTCAAGCTTTGATTACTTTTATTTTGCACTCTGCTCTGATTTTGTCTTGTCTAGTGATGTTCTACTTTCATTTGTTTATAAACTTTCCTCCTGTGCTTGTACATTTCTGATGTACCAGATTTCTCTTTTAATGAAGTTCTTTATGACTCAACCAAAGAAAAATATATCTTAGTGTAAAACACTTAGGGTGGCGCTTTCACAATGCCATTTGAAACTAAGGGAGAGAAAATATCACAAATGTTTATGATAAGCTCCTTTTCAGTTGCAATATTACTGTGATTTGAAATGGTCCTTAAGGCTAATTAAAATGCTACACAAGACATTAACATGAATGATTATAAAGAGAGTGTTGGTCCATAGTAGTTGCAGGACGATGCCAAGAACTCATGGTGTTTGGGGTGTATGCATGCCAATGAGTGGTCTAATGGATTCTGCAAAAAAGCTTCGAATGTAATCTTTGGAGCTATCCACCTAGAACCGTTGTAAGCATGTACAGTATGTTGGACTGCTATTGCTGCAGGCCCCCTCATATATCACTGTTTTGAACCTAATCGTTCATATTCAGTTATAGTTGCTTCCTCCGTTTGTCAGTATAATGTGAATTTATATACCTTCTATAAACTCTGCTCTTGTATTTATTTTGCCTTGTGGAATTGGGCTGTAAACCAAAGAAGAAAGATTTTCATGGTGCTGTTTTAATGTGATATGGATATGCTTATTGAGTTTTATTGTTGCTTACGTCCAACCAATTCTAGGTCAATCACGCTGGCAGCAAACGCAGGAAGCCTTCCTGATCTTAAGATGTTGATGCTTTTTGGTTCTGGAGCTTTGCTGTTGAGAGGTGCTGGATGCACTATCAATGACCTCCTTGATAGGGACATTGATGTGATGGTAAGCATATTCCTGTGTATGTGTTTTTCTGTCTTTTTGTTCGGTTGAATAACTTGTATGTGCACATGCAACAGTTGAATAATTTGGTTGAACCCTTATGTTAGAATGAATAGCATTTTTAACTTCTCCTATCAAATCAAGATCTTTTAGATGAATTGTTTCCTTGGCACACTTGTTGCTTTTTAGAAATTTATTTGCATTCTGATGAAAAGTGGTAGCCTTCTAAGACTTGAAACTCTTATACGTCTAGTGTGTTTATTCTATGAAAATTCTTTTCCTCTATTTTGTCTTTACCCTTTTTTATTAAATGATTGTTCTGCTCTTCCCCTTTCTAGGTAAATCTATTTTGAAGTTAACCTCTTACATCTTTTTCTGATTGTCAGCTTGGCGCTATTGGGTTAATTGGAAACTCGATAAAAGTTTCTATCTCAATTTTAGTTGGATTCCCTTAAGTTTTAGTCTGTTTAAATGTAGCCTGCAATTTCTGCATGCCTGAATCATTTTTCTTAGAGTTCTCTGGTTTGACCGTGATAGTTTCAGAGTAGGTGCTGCTAAATTAAGGGTTTAAATCAATTTTTTATGAAATTGATATATAAAGTAAATCATAAGTTCACCATACACCTGTCATTTTAAGATTATCGCTTTTTATTGTACTTAGAAAGCCCTTTTCATCATAAAAGTCTAAAGAATGACACAGTCAATTTGTATTTTTCTGAGTACCCTTTCCTTATTTTCCCGAACTTTTCTGGTTGCTTTAAGGTTCTTTTATCTTTTGCTGCTGAATAAATTTTTTATATTTCGTCAGAAATAGATCATGGGTTGCTAAGAGCCAAAGTTCTTGGAATTTCTCTTTGATAAGATCAATTTGTTAAGTTTCCTTGGCATTTAATTTATGTTTGACTCTTTTTCTGTTAGGTGGAACGAACAAAGTCCCGGCCAATCGCAAGTGGTCTTTTGACACCATTTCAAGGGCTTTGTTTCCTTGGGTTTCAATTGCTTTTAGGTCTTGGAATTCTTCTACAGTTGAATAATTACAGGTTACTCTCACTTTTATGTCCTCTTCAGACACTGCGTGATAAACTTTTGCTAGCTTTGCAAGCTCCTTTGAGATTCAAATTGATATTTTACTGAAAAGTGGAATGCTCAGGTTGCATGTCTTTGGCTAATAGTTTCCTTTAAAAACAAATAAACACATGCTTTTAGTTTTTTAAGCAGTCATTGTTAAATTGTCTTAAGCACATGTGAGCATGAAACTATGTTCCTTGGTGAAGTTCATTTGGGTGGGTTTCCATCGTTGCCTTACTGCCAAAGTGCCAACCTTTTCAACTTGGTCCCACAATTTTCTGAGTAGGAAAGTCTAATAGATCATAGTGATGTCTTGTCACTGGTCGAAGTGTTATGTGAGTTACCTCAAACGGCAGGATGCAAGGCCAAAACAGTATAAAGGTGATTGTGCCTTGAAAACCTAAATAATTTTAGGATGAAGTTTGTGATTGTGAACACTGCTGTCATTATGTTCTAGTACTTCTGTAGGATGCATAGGCTTTGGTTGATCGAAGGTCCTAGCCAGCTTATTCCATTTCATATGCTAACTCATTATGTTTGCAATGTCCAATAGCCATTAGCAGCTGCTTTCTTTTTGGAGTAAAAATATTCACCTTGTTTCTTCCATAATATTGCAATGAGCTTGCTGTTGTTGACTTTCAGCTCAGTTATATACCAGAATTAGGTTCAACATTGAGAAACTTCTGCTGTTCCATCCTTGTATAAAAGGAAGATTGACATGATAAACGATCTTGGCCTTTTTTATCTATATAGTTTTCTGATATCTGATTTTTGTATATTCAGAAATAGCTAATATAAAAGCATGTAGAAGTGGTCATAAAATATGCACTGGTTGTTTTCATCTTTTCACAATGATTAAAGCTGCATTATCTTTTTACAGCCGTATACTGGGAGCTTCTTCTTTGTTGCTTGTCTTCTCCTATCCCTTGATGAAAAGGTTCACGTTTTGGGTAATAAGACTGGATTTCTATATGTCACAGTGGGCATAATCTTTCTGTTGTGCTTTTTGTTGACATTATCTGTTGACTGACGTCTAGGAAATTTTCAATGCCAATGCAGCCACAGGCCTATCTAGGTTTGACTTTCAATTGGGGAGCTTTACTCGGATGGACTGCTGTTAGAGGAAGTTTGGATCCTTATGTCGTGCTTCCTCTATATTTTTCTGGAGTTTTTTGGACTCTTGTGTATGACACTATATATGCACACCAGGTATCTGACCGTATCTTGTGAAACTTGTTGAGTAGTTTATATTGTGCCTTTTGCATTTCGAGTTTTTATGGAAATGACACAATTTCAGTACCTTTTCTTAGTGGTTGGACATTCTTGGACTGGTATATCAATTGGTTTGAACGATACTCCTGGAAAAAAGTTAGGGATTGTGGCGGAGTTTCATAACTTCTGTGAAGTGAGATCTGTTTCACTGCCACCTTGATATCATCACTCAATTGTAGGAGCAAAAGAAATAAAGTGTAAGGCAAAAGAACAATAATCACCGATGATTCTAGGTAGAGAATCCAGAAAAGGGGATTATTAGATGTAATCTTACAGTGCAAATGAGTTGGATTATCAAAAGCAACATGGCAGAATCAGAATGGAGAACATATTAATTTTTGAAAAATGGATTTGAGATGCCCAATGTTATTTTAATTCTGAGAGATTTTTGGAAGACGTGTATGGTTTTTATGTTCATCTTGAATTTGTTGGATGAAAACTGCTAAGAGGGGACAATTTATTAGGCTCGTTGCTATTTCTCAAACAAGCATGAAATGCGTGGCTGCAAATTATTCCATAAGTCAATTGAATATGCAATTACTGGAATGACTATTGAAGTCTCAAATCATGGTTATGTGAGCATAAAGATTTATATGCCGTGTTATGTCTCCATGAATGTAGAACTAGCTTGCATTGTATTCTTTGGTACTTGCAATGGACTGGTAATATGTAAGATTATTCAGTTTATGCACGAACGATCCTTTCTTGGCTCTCTTTTTAGCCTTTGTCTGTTTTTCCTAGGCATTAAAGTTCTTCCTCCTTTAGAATCTTTCTCCCTCCCAGACCCCCACTCCCAAAAAGCCCACTCCAGCACCACCAATACAGTGTTTTAGTTAATAGCAATATACATTTAGTCATAACTGATCACCACAGCAAGGCTCTTGACATTTGTTTCCTCCTTTTTAAAGGATAAAGAAGATGATGTTAAAGTGGGTGTAAGATCAACGGCATTGAGATTCGGAGATTTGTCGAAGGAATGGATTTCTGGCTTTGGAATCGCTTGCATCAGCAGCCTTGCACTCTGTGGATATAATGCTGATATTGGTATTAATTTTCTCCCGTCTAAGGATTCTGACTTTCAATATTAAATGCAAGCTCATTATTTTTTTCCAATGATGCATGTGGAGCAGGATGGCCATACTATGCATTTCTTATTGCTGCTTCTGGACATATAGCGTGGCAGATATCAACAGTTGATCTATCATGCCGTGCCGATTGTAACCGAAAGTATGTATTTTGGGTATAGCCAAGCAATAAACCCCTTGCCTTTCCAATTTTTTTTGCTCAAGTTGTGCTGATTCTTCTTTCTTTAGTTTACTTCAACATCTTTAGTTTTTTAACCTCATTTCGTTGAGCCAAACAGTGGCATAGAATCAATATTAAGAACACAGAAGGAGGACACAGTCATCATATGTAACTCCCCTTGCCTTTCCCATTTTTTGCATTAGTTGTGCTGATATTTCTTTCTTTAGTTTACGTCAACATCTTTAGTTTCTTAAGCTTATTTTGTCGAGCCAAACAGTGTCATAGAATCAATATTAAGAACGCAGAAGGAGGACACAGTCATCATATGTAACTCAAACAGTTTATCCAAGTAATTGTAGACATACTTTCCAAGTGTTATGAATGCCTAGATGGCCATTCGGTTAAGATGATTATTTCCCCTTCAAAGGTCTTTCGTAACAGTTTTTCATAATAATGAAGTGTTTTGTTTCTTTCCTTTGTAAAAAAAATATTTGATTGTTTCTAGTGATACAGGTGATTGACATTTAGAATGGCCTTTTAGTGAGGGACATCTAGTTCGGTCTAAGTGTGAATTCAATATAATTTTTTTCAGGGATCATATATATAACTATCTTTAGTTGATGGTAATGGGATATTTTCTCTAGTTGCTGATGTTTATGCGATCAAGAGTGGAGGCCTCGGGCTTATTGGCTTCATCACTGAATATGGGATTTCGTGTTCATAGTATTCTTTTGCTTCGTCAAAGAATATCATGTAGTTCTTTGATGACAGTAATTCTAGGCTACCAGAACATAGTTAATTATGTTGTGGGGACGTGTTTTTGCATGTCAAGGGGAACCTCTTTGTATATTGTTCCAATCATATAACATGTAAAGTCTTTCAGAATTTGCCAAATATCTCCTGTCGTCTTTGAATTTTGGCGATGTTTAGGTTGCTGATGTCCAGTTGAAATGTACTTTCCATTTATTGAACAAGTCATTGCTATTCAAATTCATATACTCTCTGAATCTTTCTCACACTTTTGTGTGGTGCAGATTTGTGTCCAACAAGTGGTTTGGAGCCCTTGTATTTGGAGGAATTTTGTTTGGAAAGCTTGCAACGTAGAGGTGAGACTTTTCATGTGGAGCTTAGATTTCTCATCTTTTCTTTTTCCTATGATCGATGCACCTTACGTCACTGTTACTTATCCAATATAGAGAAAGGATACATCTTAAGGCTATCGTCAATACTAATGGGATTAGATGGCTTTTTGTTTGGGAGCACATTGAATCTCATGTCGACATTCCTTCTGAAAATAATAAATAATTTTCCAGCTACCAGACTCTTGAAATCGGATGTCTGCAAATTCCTTTTGGTCATTGAATAATTATATTCCCCAACAGAACAAAAACTCGCTGTCACTTTTGTCGATTCTCTGGATATTATACAATTAAAACTATTCTTAACCATTTTCTTTTGTCGCTATCGCCATGAGACTATTTGCTTTTGTAGCCACCTGCAGTTTCATGTTACAAAATTACAATCCTCGAGTAGTGTTTCAGGCAACCTCTTTGATTGGTTCATTGCAAGAGAGGTGTTAAACTGCTCGAACATTGATGTCTTCTGCTCTTCAGACTTGCTGAGGTGACTCTGAAGCTGGTCTAGTAAGCTTAAGTACATTTTCTGTATCAAAAATTTCCATGTAATGTGATGAAAACACCCTCACCACAACCCCAGGTGGGAAGAAAAGGAGGGAGAAAGAGGGAGGGAGGGAGGAGAAAAGTTTCCCCATTAGAAACTACTTGAGCAGATGTTGTATCTTCTTTCTATTGAACAGAAATAATAAAATCTTGTTGCATGAGAGACGATTGATTTACATTCTAATCTTTTTACAGTCTTAGAAAGAAGCAGAGGAAGCAAATCGAAGGACAAATTCCTGCCCCACGCAAGCAAACCCTTTGACCTTCATCTCTTGTGACAACTCACCTTTGGAAACTCCTGGTCTCAAAACTTCTCTAGTGTAACTTTGTTGTTCAAACGTTGATCATCGCCATCAAATCAAGCAACAACTCGGTCGGTGGTGAACAGATCAGATTTCGTAGGCAGCTATTCTCCTCAGACAATAAGGTACTTCTGCTCCCGTCTTACAGAGCTCATACAACTGGCTCATATGCTTGTCTCGACTCCCCATTTACTCGGTTATTCAGAGAACCACCTGAAATCAGGTAGAAGACGGATTAGGTAAATAGTGTAATTTAGGCTTCAAATATATATTGCCCAAGTGAGAGGATGGGTACAATTGAAGCTCTTGTTGGTAAACTTCCCATATATCCTGTGGGATTTGAATATTTAGCATATAGTAAATAATATTTACCTACACAGATATAATGCATATTTAAGCAACATGTATTATATATATATAGACTAATGGATATCTGAGATAGATATGCTATCCCACATTATGGCCCTTCTCTCGTCCTTAATAAGGGATTGCAATTTAGTCTGTAGACATCATGAATTTATACCATAAAACTCTGAAATTTTCTGATCTATTCACAGTGTCAAGTGGAGAGCATACTCAACCAATTCATCTTATCAAGCTAACGGTGCAACTCTGTACATATAATGACATCAGACCTTGAGGTAGAGAATGAAAGTGTTTAGGTAGACTAGAGAAGTGTATGCTATAGAGATTGTCCAAACTTGGTCTTATTTTACAACTGAAAGATAGTGCCCTTATATAGGCGATACAGACCTTTAACAATACAACTATAAGACAATGATAGACCAAGATGGTACAAGACCTTCACATGCACTTTTATAAGATGTTTTTACCAAAGCACACTAGAAACACACTTTGTCCAAATCTGACATGCTTATTTTCAATAGTACGATAATTTATTTTGAAAGATCATTGTGAGATGAGGGATATCATTAGGATTGGCTTCATTACAATATTCGAAATGTTTCCATTGCTTTAGCTAAGAGAGCTGTAGCTCTTTGGGCTTTGAAGATGCTCTCTTATTGCCTGTACTGACATGGAATTCTCTGCGAGGAATTGACGGTTGTGGCTAGCTGTCTAAATTCTGATGAGTAGGATTGGGACCATAATCCCATGAGAAAGTGTCCACCCCAAGGGTCTTAAAACGACCGTGGATGATTCTGAGATGGCTATAGAGGTTGATGAGGATTATCTACTTGAATTTCTGCTAAAGCCTATTGGTTAGCATCTCTGGTGGGTTCATACGCCTGTGTGTAATCCCATGATACTTCCTCTTGTAATGCACTAGGCCAAATCTCCTTGGGAACAATATGATTTTTCTCACACAATATCCTCTGGATTTCTTTGTATTCAGAGTCCATCGTCTGCAATATTGCATATATGACCTGTGTACCTTTACAAATGAGAAAGAGGTATTAAAAGACTCAAGTTTTAAAGTGCGGGGGGCATGGGATTATGGGCCCATCCTACTCATCAGAATTTAGACAATTGGCCATAAATAAACGAGCATTTCTAGAGTTAAAAGAGCTTCTTTTATAGCTAAAGCGATGGAGATAGTTTCAAATATTTTGATAGAGCCAATCCTGATGATGTCCTCTCATTAGACGATAACCTTATTGAGTGAATTATTATACTATTGAAAATAAGCATGCCAGCTTTGGCCAAAATGTGTTTTTAGTGTGCATTTGTAAAAGCATCTTATAAAGGTGCATGTGAAGGATATGAGGAGCATTATCTCAAAACTCTTTGTAGAAGTTCTCGATTGTTTTTACCTAATATATTACTGGAGGATACTCTTTGAAATGGAATTTAAGTGCATGAACAACAATACCCCTTTCTCAAGATAAAAAGCCAGACAACTATGCTCTTTTACGGATCATGGATTTGTTTTTTCACCATATTGCAGATTCCACGCCTCACACTTTAAAACTTGAGTTAATACCTCTTCATCCTTAGTAATGGTATACAGGTTATGTAGGTTCAGTATTGCAGCTGTCAACTCTGAATACAGAGAAATCTAATGGATATTGTGCGTAAAAAAATTATATTGTACCCAAGAAGATTTTTTTTGTTCGGATTCCCAAGAAGATTTGGCCTAGTGCATGCTAGGAAGAAATACAGTAGGATTACACAGGCGCATGGAATCTGCTACAAAGGCCAAGAAAATATGATAATCAGGAGCTGTTCTTTCCCAATCGGCCCAAACTTAAATAAATTACATGCAACCAATATATTGAGTCACACACACACACACATATATAGTAAATTGTACATCACGTCGACCAAGGGTTTTATAGAAAAATATGCTTATCATGAGTTGTATCCTCCCAACTTGCCCATATATAAATAAATTTTATGTTAAAATTAGATACAACCGATACATTTTGAGTCGGTGTTCCTTTTTGACCAATAAAACGAATTTGATTGTGCATAAATACCATCACGGATATGCATGATGTTCATAGCTTCAATGCAATCCTAGAAAAAAGGTACTTCGATTTAGTTTTGGAGAAAATATGTAACATGGGAAAGGGTTTGTTCCAACACAATTTTGGGTAGTTCAGAGACCAAGAATACTTTGAGAATTTATCTATATTTTAAAGTAATGTATGACTAATATAAAGTAACTAATATTTGCCTTTTTTGTTTTAGGATTGCATTAGAGTTATGGGTGGTACACATATACCGGGGGTGATACTTACAAATGATTAAATTCGTTTTATTGGTCGAATAGGAATATCGGGTCCAAATGTATTGCTTGTGTGTAAATTTGACATGAAATTTATTTATATTGTGGTCGGTTGGGATACACTGTTTATGATGCTTATAACTTCTACTAAGCCATTCGGAGACATGATGTGTATGGGGTTTAAATTTACACGTGTAGGTAAATATTATTTAGCAGATGCTGATATTCAAGTTCCATAAGTTATTTGGGGCCACACAAGAAAGTTGGATATTATTTGCTTGAGTTTCAACGAGGTCTTAGACCTACAGGTTATGAAGAAGTGTTCAACCGTGACCATTTCTCACTAAGGATATTGAGCAAGCCTTTAGTGTATTGAAAAAAGAAGTTGAAGATTCTAAAGAATATAACAAGTTATTTGTATAAAAAGCAAGTGAAATTGTAGTAGTGATAATGACTTTAAATGATCATATACGAAGAATGACTCGAATGATACCTACTTCACTAGAGTTGATTTGGTTCCCAATTATGGATAAATATTTGACCCTAATAATGTAAATCATGGGCTGGTGTTTCAAATAATAATGCATCTTCTAACATGACACATGTTTATTGTCGAATATCTATAAGTTCAGTAAATAATAAAAAAATACTTCTAATTTTGAAGGATAACATCGTTCCTTCCGTGACCATATGTAACCATGTTTGTTATAATGAAATTCTTCCCTGTTTAATTGAAAAAGAGTCCACATGTGACTTTTTTGACATTTATTAATTTTTTTAATACATTGTAATGTTTGTTGAATTCGATCTTTCAACCATAAAAGAAATATGATTTTTAGGTCACAAAATTGTTAATACGTTACTTTTACATTCAAATTGTAAAAATTGCAGTCAGTCATTGATTTTTCCAATTTTTTTAAAAAAATTAAAAAGTAGAAAACTTAAATCAATCACAAAAACACCAAAGGACTTTTGGAGCACGGTCTTTTCGAAGCCGTAATTATATAAGAGTTGCTTTACAATGCACTTTTCAATTAAAATTTACCAAATGCTCAATTGCTTTTACCTACTCCGCTTTGACTCGAAACATCTTCTCTAAATAAGCTTTTGAAATGCTTAAGGTTTTGTTAAACTCAACCTTAGCGAGGTTGGTGAGATAATAATAGAAATGTTCATCAACTCACTTCTCAGCATGCCGAGAAAGTCAAAAAGCTGAGGCAAGGTCTCTCCTTGCCTTGCGAGAAAGAAACTGCCTTGCAAATGCATTGGATTGGAACATGTCTAAGGAAGTGATTCTTGTGAAATTCGAATTTGAATTGCCCCAATTTTCTTCAAAGTATTCCTACCCACGTAACAAGATTGTCTGGACTTAGTCCATCTTTTCATGATCCTATCATGTAATTCAAAGCGATGAATTCTTCTCTCTTGACTTGCGGCACGTCGTACTATCCACTTCAAGGTTTTATCAATCACGCGTAGTTTCCTAAACATAAGGATATAAATTCTCGAGAATTCATCGGTCCGGTGCGAACGGTCTGCTTTCGATCGAATTTGAAAGGTACAGAAGTCGTTCTCGCTCCTTTCAAAGGTTTTATCAATCACATGTAATTTCCTAAACGTAGGGAAATAAATTCTCGAGAATTCATTAGTTCGATACGAATGGTCTGCTTTCGATCGAATTTGAAAGGTAGAGAAGTTGTTCTCGCTCCTTTTAAAGTTTTATAAATCACACGTAATTTTCTGAACATAAGGAAATAAATTCTCAAGAATTCATTAGTTCGATGCGAACGGTCTGCTTTCGATCGAATCGGAAAGGTAGAGAAGTGGTTCTTGCTCATTTTAAAGGTTTTATCAATCACACGTAATTTCCTGAACATAAGGAAATAAATTCTCGAGAATCCATCAGTCCGGTGCAAACGGCCTGCTTTCGATCGAATCTGAAAGGTAGAGAATTCGTTCTCGCTCCTTTGATTCTCGGAATTATTTTTCGGGCGTCGAATCCAGCATAGATTAAGTCCAACACGTAGGGTTGTTAGAGAGAAAAATAATAATTTTCTTTTGCCAAGTTTAATTTTATGTA